CTCACCAGTGACCTGTTCTCCAAGTCTTGATCCTGTTGGTGCAGTCTCGGCCCTTCCAGTGGGCTGGAGGCGAATTTGCCCCCATCTCTTTTTGTTGAGATATTTTATACTCACTCTCAATAATGGAATTAGACATTGAGAAATAATTTACCTCGATGCAAGGCTTCAGTGAAGCCTTTGCAATGCTATTTTCAGCCACAAAAAGGATTACAGCCAGTTAAATGGCACCTCCATCTCTCCATACCTTTTCTATGCCATGTGAGTCCAGCATTGCTGGAAGAAAGAATCTGAAAGAATAAGGGCAGCAAAGCCAATCTGGAGGGGCTGACAGAGCAAAAGCAATGGGTTCCGATGTTTCTGTTATGCATTTTAAAGTGGAGAAGAAGCAGCAACGCAATTCCTCCTGGGAACAGCTGATGGGTCAGGGCACAGATGCCCCTGCCTCGTGCCAGGGATGAAGATCTTTCCTGCCTCCTCCAGCGCAAAGAAAATGCATTTCAAGCACCAGCAGTGCTGCTTAGGGTCCCGTCTGCCAGAGCAAAGGGGCTCTGGAAGAGGGAAGGTCAGCGTGCGGAAGAGTGGGGCAATACCCCGGTGCATGGCTGTGCCTGCCCCATCGACGGGAGGTGCATCCCTGCCCGCCCAGGCGGTCCAGGGCAGATCTCCGCTCTGGGTGACCCACCTGGGATTTGCTTGTGGCCATCGCATCAGCAAATTAGCAGGTGCATCATACGGCCCACGGCACTTAGTAATCATGCGGATTGGCAGCCTGTGCATTTCCCAAGGTTTGGGGTTTTCTTTTCCCTTTAAAAAAAGCCAAAAAACACCAGCCTGCCTGTGAACAGGCCAGTCATGTGAAAGCCACAGAGCAGCAACAGGAGAAACTGTAAGAAGACAACAGGAAAAAAGTCTCCTGACATTACAGAAGGATGTAGGGATCTCCAAGGAGGTTCCCATTGCTTCCCCACATTCAGCATTCCCACCAAAATCAGAGGAAGAGCAGTAGAAAGTAGCAGAAAAAAAATCTTCTTGCCTGCATAAAAAATTCAGTTGTGGAAAGAAAAGGCCATTTTTGGAGGAAAAAATATCGCTGTCTGGAAATTTGGGGTGGAATCTACTTAAGAGCACTTGAGCAGCTCAGGTCCGGCCATGTGCCCCGTGTCTGTAGTGGGATTGCACAGCTGGGGGCTGGCGCGCAGCCGTGCCGACGCACAATTCTGGGATTCAGAGCTGAATTCTTCAGATAAGTCTTTTCCAGGAATGTCTGACAGCGCAAACGAAGCAAAGATTGCAACATTTTTTCCATAGTTCTCAGCCTCTTGAAAAAAATACCCAGTCATTATCTAAGAAGCAAACGCAGAAATCAAAGCAACAAGCAGGCAGTTGTAAAAGGCGAAGAAGTGGGCATCTGCCCCCAAGCCAGCGTTTTCTCCTCCCTCCCATCAGGACCGCCAGGCCCTCGCATACACAGGGGGTTCAAGCCCTGCCGAGAGGAATGTGGGAGGTGGGAGCTCAGCCTCCGCCGAGGCCAACTCCATCCTGCGCCCAAGGTCTGCTAATGTCTCGGGGAGCCACGGTCCGACAGTCCTCCTGCGGTCAACCCTTGGGTTGTTTTGCTGCTTATTCAGTCCCCACAGGATAATCCATAAGGTTAGGAGCACGGTCCCAAACCTGCCCCAGCGTTAAACGCAAGCAAGTCTTGCTGGCACCTGGTTTTAGCAAGCTCAGCTTCTCACTGGGCGTCCAAATAACGGTCATCCAAACAAAAGGGTCCCTGTGCGGCAGTACAGTGGGCGAGAGGAGGCTTCATCCATCCTCACCGTGCCGAGACCAAGGGGAGCATCACAGCACAACACACCCACCACCCTGGCGCTACGGCAAACCTCCTCGCAAAGCCCCCATCCATGCTGAAAACGCGAGACCCAGCCCTACCGAATTCCACATATTCCACGTACTGAGTACCACCCCTTTTCAAAAAGAGAGGAACAACTGCGCTACAGCGACCACTGCGATGGCCAGAGGAAAAACTGCCTCTACATAAAGACCAAGTTCTGCCAAAATTCCCAAGCGAGGATTTCTTGCTCTTAGCCCAGAGCAGACCTTGGCACTCTGCAATTAACCGTTAAGCACCGTCCTTGGCACGGGCACAGAAAAACAAATTCTTAAGGCTTTCTACAACCCAGTGTAGCATGCACAGCCTGTGTTTTGAAAGAGATTTAAATGAGAACGGTTTGCGGTATTTGGTAGAGGATCTTTCATATTTTTGAAAGTAAGCATATTCCTAGCAAAGAGAGTATGAGGAGCATAACAAGGACCAGGCAGGGGACGAGCAGGAGCCTCAGAGGTGGCCCTGCCACAGCATCCTTGCCCCGTGTCCCCGCTATCACTCCGATAAGTGGCCGACCGCAGCTCCCCTGGTGAGAGAGATTTAAATGAGAACGGTTTGCGGTATTTGGTAGAGGATCTTTCATATGAAAGTAAGCATATTCCTAGCAAAGAGAGTATGAGGAGCATAACAAGGACCAGCAGGGGACGAGCAGGAGCCTCAGAGGTGGCCCTGCCACAGCATCCTTGCCCCGTGTCCCCGCTAACTCCGATAAAACAGGGGGAACGGGGACGGGCAGGGGGGGGGGAGGGTGCAGGGATCCACCGGAAAGGATGCTGCGTGGTATTTTTATTCTGTTTTTACAAACAGATTTTAAAAGCCTTGCGTAAGCCTAGGAAATATCCTTTGATTTGTTCCTACAGCACCGGTGAGCTCTGGATCCTGCATCCAGGGTCCCACCAGGTGAAGACTGGTCCTCAGCAGCACTGCTCCCACACCCCTGCCGCCAGTAGGGAGGGGGCAGAAGCTTTTGCCCAAGCAAAACCCCCTTTTCCTGATGCCAGAGAAAAGCCTTCATATATATAAGAGCTGTCAGAGAGCTCTTTAAGACTTGAGCACGATGCACCTCTACCCAAACAGCAGCCCGTTGGGGCACCTTATCAACCAAACTCAGCTGCTTGACTGCGTTTATGGCAGGGCCATCCTGAGTATAGCCCCTTTAATGATAAAAATTCATCACTGAAAGGACCCAGAGGGAAGCCCCTCTTTGAGCAGCTTCTGGGAACAGAGCAATATAGACTCGCAACACCCAGCAGGACAGTCTGACGTGGAGGAAACCGTCCCAACCGCATTTTGGACAAGCCCCTCTCAACACTGACAACTCCACAACACGCAGCATCCTGCAAACACCCAGAAAAAGCAGTGCAGGTTTGAAAAGCAAAAGATTTGGGGAGGCTTTACAGCCCTCGGCTCTGGGACTCGGGGGTGGGGGGGGCAATCGCTGCCTTTTATTTGAAAGCGCAAGGTCAGCAGTTTTGGAGCACGCATGAATGGCCGTGAAGCAGCCTGCCTACGCTGCAGATAGCTAGCACCAGCCAACTGCTGATGAAGGACATGGCTCCAGAAGGCTCCTCGTCTGGGACAGGGTCCAGCCGCTTCCCGGCCGGCCCGGACACCACCAGGCGTCAGCAGAGACCCGCGGCGGTGGCTTCGCTCCCACCGAAACCGGAGCCTGGGCCCAAGCAGGGAAACATGCCGCTGCTTTCAGCGCAGGGAAGATAAGAGGGAGGGCGAGCATCAGCATCCCCACGTGGGGTACCCACGGGTGTTTTGCTCCCAGCAGGCTGGGGATTAGGGTGACCTGAATCTCCAAAAACCTCTGACAGTATCCCATCACCACAAGACCCTTCGAAAGCATTTAGTGCCCTCCACCGTGACCGTTCCCTCCTCGCCAAGACCACGTGGCATTGGTTTGCTCCTATGCCAGGACCGTGTTTCCGGCGTAGTGTGACTGTGCTCCCAGTGGCATCGGTATGATTCACAACTGGTTTCACTGGGGGTTACACTGGAAGAATCTGTTTCCACGGGAAAGCAAAAACCAGGCTAACCGAAAACAAATGCTGGAGACAGCACCACTGGCATTAACCCTGTCTTCTGGGGAAACTGGGGTGCAGGCTTGCCTGACTCCCTGCGCACAGATTTCATGTTACTGGTACCACTAGGTGCCCTGGAAACTCTGCGTCACAGCACCTTAGCGAGCACTCCTCCCCTGCTGACCTCAGCAAACGGCTCACTGGGTGATGTCACCCAGCACGACATCAGCCTTCACCCAGCTCAGCCCAGAGGTGGCTCTTCAGCCACCCCAGATGTGCAGGTGCCACGGGGGCTGTTTCAGCAGCGGGATGAGGCAGGGCCTGAGGGCTCAGCACATCCCACGCGCGGTGCTCGGTAGCGAACCACAGGGTGAGGAGCATGCCCAAAAACTCAGCCTGTCACAGCAGCAAAAAACAGGGCAGCTTTCTAGATAGGGGACAGGGTCTCCTCCAGAGACAGGCTGTCCTTGCGGCACCACGTGCATCTTTAAAACACCCTCACAACCAGAGCAAGAGGGAGGTGTGCCAAAAATGGCCCCTCCACTCCCAGCAGGGCGATGGGCGCCCAGCGAGCCCTGCTCCAAGGGCTGCCTCGCGTTTATACATCCAAGTGTAATCGAAATGGGCTAATAACAGGAGACCACCAAAAAGCACTCGAGCCGGTCACCTCCGCTGCAGCTGAGTGTGCCGAACACCCTGCCACGGTGCTGCCAGCAGCTGCCCCACAGCTCGAGGGCAGCAGGGCAGAGCAGTGGGCATTGGGTCTGGTACCCATGCTAAGCCCCATCGCGGCTTCAGGGACTGATAAGGCGGGGGGGGGAGCAATCCCCCCGCTGCTGGGCCAGCCCTGTGTCCCCCCACCAGGACACCAGGAATACGGTGGAGCCCTGCCCTTCCATGTGGGGACAGAGCAGAGGAGGCAAGGGGAAGGGGAGGGAGGGAACAACTTCAGGGGGGTGTAGGGAAAAGCGAGAGGGAATCACAAATAACCTGCACAGGCAAATCCCCCTTGATTTCTTAAGTCTGTGGAGGAGAATAAAAGCAACGGGCAGCAACAGCCCTGATTGCCGGGGAGCGCTCACCGTTTGTGGACGACGTCAGGCAGTGGAAGACGCTACCGGAGGTGCAGTTCTGCCAGAGGTCCGCCGTGTGCCCACCGTTCACCAGCCATTGCTGCAAGAGAGACGCAGCCCCGTGAGCAGGGAGGCGGCAGGCAGCCGCGTGCCCCCCCCCCAAGGCTTCGGCACCAAGCAGCCCCAGTGCGTACCGGCACGCGTGTGCCCGGCCGGGTGCTCCCAGACACATGCTTTTCTTTAGAAAGGGGTTTGGAAAGTAAATACTGGTATTTGCTTTCAGCTGCTTTCACCTCAACGGCAGAAAAACAGAAGCTCTTTATTCTCTTTAAACATGGACCAAGTCCCGTGGGGGATGCGCACTTCCCTCCCCTCTGCCATCCTCGCCTGGTGCCTGGCCGAACTATTTGAATGCTTCTACATGATTTCTAACGACTCGGAAGATTTTTTTATAACATCTTCTACTACTATTACCACCCCCCAAAAAAAAAAAAAAATTAAAAAAAAAAGGGAAAGAAGAACCTGGTGAAGCAAGCCTGGAACTCACCAGCTCCACAAAACTGCTGCCTTAAAACTAAGTCAAACCTCTTCCTAAGTAGATGACGTGTTAACTGGGCTCTGGACCGAGAACAGTGCTGGGAACTCTCTGTGCAGCATCCAACCCTCAATCTTCCCACTGCTTGCAAAGCTTAAGCCTTGAAATTCGCCAGCAGGAGCCCATCTGGGTTAGGAGAGAGAGGCTGTGCCCAATTCACAGCCCCAAAGGAGCAGAGCTGGAGAGCAAAACTGCTGGTGCTGAGGAGCCAGTGCTCAAACCAGTCCCATTTCAAGCGGTTTTGCTCAGACTGGCTGTACCGGTCCTGTGGGCTGAAGCCCGTTAGCAGATGGAGCTGCTTTATGAAAGGGGAGCGCAGTTTCAGGCCCACGGAGGGTAGTTTGGATGCTCTGAGGCTGCTCCATGATGTGAGCCAGCATGGGGACGATGAGGAGAAGGGCTTCAACAGCGCTCTTCTCTGTACTAACGGGGATGCCCCGAGCACCCGCTGCGGCACACAACCGAGCGACCCACCAGTTACACCTGACAGCAGAAATACCGAAAGAGCTTTCTGTGCAAAATGCTCCAAAATCTCACTGTTAGTAAGACCAGTAATCGGCAAGCAAAGGTTTCCTGCTAAAAGTCAGGCTGGAAAATAGACCACAAATAAAAATAACACCTTCTGGTCTTGCCACACCATAAACCCCCCGCCGGCCGCTCCCTGCCTCGCCGGTACCCCGGTGCCGGAAGAAAGTCCGTACTTACGCTAACGATGGTGGAGACGAAGAGAAGCACCAGCACGGTGACGTGGAGCACGATGATCCCCAGCAGCAAAAGCAGCATCTCGGCGGTGGTGGAGGGCAGAACTGGAGGGGGAGAGGGATGCTGCTGAGTGTGTGTATACGTGTATATGTGTGTGTGTGTGTGTGTGCGTGTGCGAAGCCCGGCCCCGAGGGCAGCAGGAGGCGCTCCGCCGACGGCAGCCAGCCCGGCTCCGGGGGATGCTTGGGCAGCGCCCGGCTCCCGGGCTTCTTCCCTCGTGGCCTGCCGACGGAGGGGATGTCCGAGCCCCCTGCCTGGACCCACTCCCGGATACCCCCGGGGGGATCCTCCGAGCCCTCCCCCCGAGCCTGCTCCCCCGAGCCCTCTCACCGAGGGGGCTTCCCCGGCCCCCCTCCCCTGGGGACCCCCGGGGGGGGCTTCCCTGAGGGGGTCCCCCAGCCCCCCTCCTCCGAGCGGGGGGCCCCGCAC